CCAAAGCCCCAGTGGATAGTTGTATGTCGTAGCTGCACATCCTTCCAGTTGCTGTATGTGGGACTCGGCCTCAGGATGAACGGAGAAGCGGTGCCTTGATGCGCACCCGGGATCCGAACCCGGGCCACCAGCATCGCAGCGCGCGCACTTAACCACCAAGCCACAGGGCCGGCCCTCTGCAACACTTTTTATTTTCTCTGTGTGTGTGTGTTTAATAATAGCTATCCTAGTGGGTGTGAAGTGGTATCTCATTGTGGTTTTGATTTGCATTTCCCTAATGACTAATGTTGTTGAGCATTTTCTCATGTGTTATTGGCTTTGTATATCTTCTTTGGAGAAATGTCTATTCAAATATTGTGTACAATTTTTAAGTGGATTGTTTTGTTGTTGTTTAACTTTTAGGAGTTCTTTATATATTGTGGATATTAATTATTATCAGATATATTATTTACAAATATTTTCTCCCATTCTGCAGTTGTCTTTTCACTGTCTTGATACTATGCTTGGATGCAAAAAGTTTTTAATTTTGATGAAGTCCAACTTATCTATTTTTATTTTGTTGTCTGTGTTTTGGGTGTCGTATCCAAGAAGTCATTGCCAAAGCCTCTATTATGATGCTTTTCCCTTATGTTTTCTTCTAAGAGTTTTATAGTTTTAGCTTATACAGTTAGGTCTTTGATCCATTTTGAGTTAATTTTTGTATATATTGTGAGGTAAGCGTCCTACTTCATTCTTTTGCATGTGGCTGTCCTGTTGTCCCAGCTCCATTTATTGAGAAGACTGCCCTTTCCCCATACAAATGTCTTGGCACTTTTGTTGAAAATAATTTGACTATGTATGCAACGGTTTGTTCCTGGGCTCTCTATTCTGTTCCATTGGTCTACATGTCTGTCTTTAAGCCAGGACCACACTGTTTTGATTACCACAGCTTTATAGTAATTTTTGAAATCGAGAACTGTAACCCCTCCAACTTTATTCTCCTTTTCAAGATTGTTTTGGTTATTTCAGGTCCCTTGAGATTTCATATGAATTTTAGGATGGATTTTTCTATTTCTTTGAAAAACGTCATTTGATAAGGATTGCATTGAATCTGTAAATAGCTTTGGGTAGTAATGACATCTTAACAACATTGCCTTCCAATCCATGAACACAGGGTTTCTTTTATTTATTCATGTCTTCTTTAATTTCTTTCAGCAACATTTTGTAGTTTTGTAAGTCTATCTTCTCCTTGGTTCAGTTAATTCCTAAGTATTTTATTCTTTTTGATGATATTGTAAATGGAATTGTTTTTCTAATTCCTGTTCAGATTGTTCATTGTTAATGTCTACAAAGGCAACTGATTTTCCTGTGTTGAGTTTGTATCTTGCAACTTTGCTGAACACTTGTTAGCTCTGTTTGTTTGTTTGTTTGCTTGTTTGAATCATTAGGGTTTTCTACACATAAGATCATGTCATATGCAAAGATATTTTTACTTCTTCTTTTCCAATTTGCATTTTATTTCTTTTTCTTGCCTAATTGCTCTGGCTAGAACTTCCAGTACTATGTTGAATAGGATTGTGAAAGTGGGCATCCTTGTTTTCATGAGCTGAATTGTGTCCCCCCGCCAAACTTATATATTGAAGCTCTAACCCCCAGGACCTCAGAATGTGACTGTAGTTAGAGATAGAGCCTTTAAATAGCTGATTAAATTCAAACGAGGCCATTAGGATAGGCCCTAATCCAATCTGACTGGTGTCATAAGAAGAGGAAATTTGGATACACAGAGAGCCATCAGACATGCACATGCACAGATGGAAGGCCACATGAGGACACAGCGAGAAGGCGGCCATCTGCAAGCCAAGGAGAGAGGCCTCAGGAGAAACCAACCTTACTGACATCTTCATCTTGGACTTTTAGCCCCTGAAACTGAGAAAATAAATTTCTGTTATTTAAGCTATCCAGTCTGTGGTATTTTGCTATGGAAGCCCTAGCAAATTAGTATACTTGTCTTGTTCCTGATC